GGGGACGAGCAGCAGCTTTGGGACTTTGGGGGCGGCCCCTGGGGCTCGTTTGGGGCTCCAAATGCAGGATCTGCTGGAGATTTGGGGCTCAAGATTTGGGGCTCAAGATGTGGCAGAAGGTGCAGATTTGGGGCTCCAGGTGTGGTACCTGGTGTAGATTTAGGGCTCCAGATGTAATCTGATGCAGATTTGGGGCTGCAGGTGTAGTATCTGATGCAGATTTGGGGCTCCAGGTGTGGTACCTGTTGGAGATTTGGGGTTCCAGGTGTGGCAGAAGGTGCAGATTTGAGGCTCCAGGTGTGGCCCCTGGTGCAGGTTTGGGGCTGCAGGTGTAGTATCTGGTGGAGATTTGGGGCTCCAGGTGTGGCACCTGGTGTAGATTCAGGGTTCCAGGTGTGGTCCCTGTTGTAGATTTGGGGCTCCAGGTGTGGTACCTGGTGCAGATTTGGGGCTCCAGGTGTTCAAACCGCCCGTCGCCAACCTCGCAGGTAACCCCGGGGCTGCCGGGGAGGAGGAGCAGGTTTGGGACTCTGGGGGCGGCCCCTGGGGCAGATTTGGGGCTCCAAATGCAGGATCTGCTGGAGGTTTGGGGCTCGAGATGTGGCAGAAGGTGCAGATTTGGGGCTGCAGGTGTAGAATCTGGTGAAGATTTGGGAATCCAGGTGTGGTACCTGGTGGAGATTTGGGGCTCAGGATTTGGGGCTCCAAATGCAGGATCTGCTGGAGATTTGGGGTTTGAGATTTAGAACTCGAGATGTCACAGAAGGTGTAGGTTTGGGGCTCCAGTTGTAGTATCTGGTGCACATTTAGGGCTCAAAATGCGGCAGAAGGTGCAGATTTGGGGATCCAGGTGTGGCCCCTGGTGCAGATTTGGGGCTCCAGGTGTAGTATCTGGTGTAGGTTTGGGGCTCCAGGTGTAGTATCTGGTGCAGGTTTGGGGCTCCAGGTGTAGCCCCTGGGGCACGTTTGGGGCTCCAGAGGCAGGATCTGCTGGAGGTTTGGGGCTCGAGATTTTGGGGCTCCAGTGTGGTACCTGATGTAGATTTGGGGCTCGAGACGTGGCACCTGCTGCAGATTTGGGACTCCAGACGTGGCCTCTGCTGCAGATTTAGGGCTCCAAATGCAGGATCTGCTGAGGATTTCGGGCTTGAGATTTGGGGCTCCGGGTGTGGCCCCTGGTGCAG